AGCTACATATTCTCCTGTTTAACCCTACAGAGAGTTTCTTATATGAAATTGGAATCCAAACGCAACGGATTTGAATTTGTTTTGAAAAAAATCAATATAGTAAAATGATCTTAAAGCAATATTCAATTGTTCTATTAAAATTATATCTTTCATGGATTAGAAACGTTGAAAAAAGCTAATAATCGCACAAAACTCATACTTCTAGTTCCTTTAATTTAAGCACTTCTTACCCAATCTATAGCAACTTTATAAAAACTTTTATAATAAACTTAATGAAAGGTAGTTTAAAATCGACACGGCCAAGTCTTTTACCATTTTAAATCTTAAACGACCTTAAGCCAATTTCTGTTTGTCTGTAGACGTCGTACACTTGACGAAAATCTAGTTACCCAAATAGATTGTATAAAAGTTCGGCTGTTTGACTTTTTATATGTACATGTGTGAGTTTAGTTTTTTTTGTTATTGTCCCCCTATACAACTAAAGTAGTGTACTGCGATTTGTTTACATTTTATTTCCTCTTGTCTACCTATAAAGTTTTTTTTTTTTTTTTTTTTTTTTTGATGAGATCCAAAGTCCAAAGTCTACTTGATATTATAATGTATATAAACGAGAAATGTTTGTTATTCACGAGAAGTACGTTAAGAAAGAGCGCATTTAGGTTGAAGTTGTTTATGAATAAACTTTAGTTCTTGTTTATAATACTGTTTAGATACTGCTTATATTTAACTTTTAGTATATAAAAATATTGGTAGTTTTGAAATTATAATTTTAACATACATTTTGATTTTCGTAGAAGTGGGTGTTAATTGAATAAAGAAACAAAGATATCAAAACTATATTAATATTTCGTTAAAATAATAATTGTGTATTCCTATTAGACTAATTCCAAGACGATTTAACAGAAAACTTGTTTTATTTAAGGTTCTTGAGGCAAATAAACGAAATGCGCAATTGAAAATCTCAAGGAGTATTGTTAAATTTCACAATATTTAAATCATCATTTCTGCAGAAAAATTACTTTAAGTACTTGTTGATATAATATGGACTGTAAAAGAGAATAGGCAATACATACATCCGTACAATAGGTACCAATAGGTGAATTGTGACACCCTCGAGAAAAAATAAGAATATAGAATGAAGAAATATATACAGTGTGAAGAATGAAAGTATGTAACAGAGAAAGTAACAGGATAAGATAAGAGGATATAGTTTTCGGAGTCTATTTGAAAGGTTTCTTGAGGCATCTTCGATACAGTATGAGAACGAGTTTATAGAAGGACAATATCTATAAACAAAAACAATATGAAGATGACATGTATCTAACAGGGAAAAGAAAATGAGGGATGACGTTGATATGATACCTCACAATTTAAGTTGAACCGTTAAAGACTCAAATAAGACTGATCGGCAAAATGCTGAAAGAACGATTGAACTCATGTTGGACATGAAGGTCATGGGCATATAAGATAAGTTACAGTTTCACACTCTCCCTTTTTGATACTAGAAGAGCTTTAAGCTAAAATCAGCAGATTTGTGTACTTAAGTCATGGAAAATTGGATCCAACTTCTTAATAAAATAAATTATTTCTCATCAATGCCTTAGGAACACAGTTTCTGATTAAGCTTCGTGACATTTCATCCACAAATGTTTTTTGTTGAATGATTTGTAATTCGATGGATCTCTTTCAGATTTGTGGAGTTGTAGTTTCCTGTCGTAGTGGTATCTATCCTAAATTCATAGAGAAATTTGGATCCAACTTCTTAATGAAATACCTTTTATCTCATGAATGCCTCAGGAACATAGTTTGGATCCCACTTCTTAATGAAATACCTTTTATCTCATAAATGCCTCAGGAACATAGTTTCTAATTATGCTCCGTGATCTTTCACCAACAAATTTTTTATTGTTTAAAGTTTTGTAATTCGATGGAGATGGGGCTTCCGATCGCTTTCAGATTTGTGGAGTTGTAGTTCCCTGTCGTAGTGGTATCTATTTTAAATTCGTAGGGTTATGAAAGCGAAAACCTATACTCAAGTGAAGCTAATGGTAATTTCTGCGAGTTCATTCAGAATTGGCAAGAAAAGAAGTTGATGTTTGAGTTAATTCTTTGAGCAACCAAAGTAACATACGCTTCAGAACTATTTCTATAAATACAAAAATATTTCCCAGTTGTAAAGGGAAAATGGAGAATTGATCCAACTTCTTAATGAAATACCCCTTATCTCATCAAAGCCCCAGCATCACGGTTTTTGATTATGCTCCGTGACCTCTCACCCACAAATGTTTTATTGTTAAAAGTTTTGTAATTCGATAGAGATGGGCTCTCGATCTCTTTCAGATTTGTGAAGTTATAATTCCCTGTCGCAGTGATATTTATTCTTAATTCGTAGAGATGTTATGGCGAAAACATTAACTCAAGATTAGCTTATGGTAATTCCTGCGATCTCATTCAGAATTAGCGAGAAAGCAGTTGATACTTGAGTTGACTCCTCGAGCAATCATAGTATTTGATCTTGTGGAACCCCTTACATATTTCAATTTTTGTTGGTTCTTATAAAACGCAAATCGCCAAAAAGTATGTATACTAATCTTATGCCTATGAAATGTTATCTTACGTCTGGTTTTAATTAGATGCTTTCGAACTTAGAATAACTACTCTGACTAAATCAAGATATCACCGTGAGAACTTTTTCGTTTTAAGGACCCGATTTGTAGACATACATACATAAAATATCACTTTAATTACTTGTGAAGCTACTGGAACTTAGACATGAGTTTCAAAATAACCTTGTAGTTTTTAAGTCTCCGTGGTTTTGACCATTTCCCCTAAATTCTACGGCTGTCTAGCCGCCACTAGGATGATTCCGATTTGGAGACAGTTTTCATATATTGTATAATATTTATAAGTGCTGGTATGTTGTTATGTATCTCCATTTGGGAAGAGTTGTTATTAGAAGAATCTTTTATCTTGCACAATAGACACATGGGAGATAGCGAAGTTGTATATTATACTTTGTTTTTGTAGGAATCTTACACGAAGGTACTACGGTACCAGAAACCTTTCCTAAAAGTAACCCACAGTTATTTTTTTAATGAGAACTTCGGGAGCATAAATAACATTTCAGACTTTGGAGGAGATACATCACCGGCAACTTGGATTTGCTAATTACGGTTGTTATTGGTTCTTGAAGCTTGTTGATGGCCTTCACCTGGTTAATTTCTAAATCTAGATCACTTAAAGCACGAAATCTCGAATAAATAACAACAATTTAAATGAAAATTATTATGAAACAGTCATGTTTTTATAAGGGTTATAATTCTAATGAGAAAAAGTCCAACCAACCGACCTTTCCTACTGACACGTAGTAGGCAAAAAACCAAGAATACGTAAAAAACATGTTTACAAATGTAAAAATAACCATGTAATCCAAAAAAAGAATTTAAAATGTTCAATTTTTTACCCCTTAATAAACGCTACTAAATGCACAACAGGGTCATTGAATTTTTTTACAAAAACAACAAATAATAATATTGAGAGGAAAAGACAAAAAATAAATTACACAACCAACAACAAGTTGAGATAATAGAAAGAAGAAAAACAACAAAAAAAACTTAAAGAAGATTATCAAGGAAAATGCCACATGCTAAGTAAAACATGCAGCAAAAGAGAAAGCAAAATGGAGGGAATTGTAAGAAATGACAAAAATGTAAAGATATTTTTAAAATACATTGTAATAAATATGATTAATATGTATAAAACTTACCTTTTAGAAAATAAATGTTGAAATAATTGATTGAATAACACTTTTTTACTAGAATTGTGTTAGAAATAGATTTCTAATAACAAGTTTAAACACTATTACAAGATCAATTATTTTGATTTTATAGGTAACAAAATATTATGTTGTTTTTTATTACTTTTTATTAGAATCTAGGTAACTATTGCTTTTAACAAAAACAACAAATTATATTTAATGCACCACCTCTCTCCCTTCTTATTTAGTTAATTACATTCACTTTTTATTTTTGTTATTAAAATGTTGTTAGTTCTTTTCCTTAGTGTGAGTTTAATTACAACAAAAACACTTTGACGAATTAAAAAAATATGAAAACAACCGTAAAAAACAAAAACACAACCGCACTTCACAAAAGTAAACAAACGAATGAATAAATGGAAACAAAAGAAAATATCACAACGAGATTTTTGTAAATAAAAAACAAAACAAACAAAAACTGTTTTATCGGCTTCTGTGCTCTTAAATTGATCTGATGTAAAATGTATAAGAGAAAGAGGAAAAAGAAATTTAAAATTTACAAAGTTTTAATTTGTAAAATATTGAAAATGTTTTACAAATTTAAAAAAATTATGCAAAATTTAAGAAAAATAATTTAATTCTTCATAAATATTGAACTACTTTAAAATATTAGAAAAATAAAAGGTTAAAAATAAAAAAATTAAGAGAAAATGCAATGGAAAATTTAAATTTTGACTAGACTAGATTATAGACTAGACTGTATACCATATAGACTAGACTGTAGACTATTCTATACACTAGTCTATAGACTGGACTATAGACTAGACGATACTTTATTTTACAAACTAATGAAATCGAACATACATATATTGAAAATTTAAATTTTCATATTTATAAAACTTAACGAAACTTTTTTTTAAATTTTATTATCTAAATTAAGCAAATTCTTGTAATTTTTTCGGAATTTAAAAAACTTAACGAAATTTTATTTTGGAAACTAATAGCAAATTAACAAATATTTGTATTTTTTCAAAAATTTTATGCAAAAAAAACTATTGGAAACGAGTAAATTTTTGGATATTTTGGAATTTTAAAAACCTAATATGAAAATATTCAAATTCGAATGCTATTAAAGATAATTAAATAATCAATAAAACATATTTTTTTTTAAATATTTCATTTTTATTAATTAAAATTTTACTTTTATGTTCTTTAGGTGTTTTCTTATAGAAAATAAACACAAATAATAGAATAATAAAAAAGGGAAACTCAAAACTTTAATTCAATACTTTACTTATTGTACATACTGTACACATGTGTACTGTTTTTTTTTTTACAAACTATTTGATCTCGACATTACTAGCCTCTGCCTCAACTGCGGCAACAGCTTCCGGATTACTACCGCTTCGTAGACCTCTTATACTTATATCATATACCACTTCTTCGATCTTTTTTACATCATATTTGAGAGCATCGAAACGTTTTCGTAGACCATCATTCTTTAAGTTCAATAAACGATATCCGGAATTTAAATCGGCCATAAAGCGCGATATATTCAATGGACGATCATAGTCACCCATTGTTACGGAATTGGTAGCAAATCGTGATAGTTCAGATGCCATTTGCAGTATACCCATGAGATAATCTTCAATGTCTAAATGGAACCCGTCAGCATGATTGGTTTTTACTGAAAAATATAAATGGAAATAAATGACTCAACTTAAATCCAAGATATCATTACTTACAACCCAACATTTCAGCCACAGTTTCTCGAGTTACCAAAAAGCCGGCTTCCAAGTAAACAACCATGGCACTGAGAAATACCAAACGCTGAGTAATAAAAGTCCAGTGATCCGAATAACTAAAATAATAAAAAAAAGTATTAAAAAAACACCTACACTCCATTTATAGTAACCGGCTCACGGACAACTGACTCACCGATAATACTGTCCCACGGGTATAATTTCCGCCAAATTCTTGTAGCTATCGGCACACAAAGAAATTTGTTTGCGAGCCTGCAGACAGGCATGATCAACTGGTTTTTAAGAAAAAATTATAGATTTTTGTAATACAATATCAATTAATATAAAATTAACTTACTTTTAGTTAAATCACTGTGTATGATTTGCAATTGTATGGTGGCTTCTTTGGCCAAATGTTCAATTTCTCGTACGACCACGCGTATTTTCTGAGGAGAAATTTTAATGTTTCACTTTTCACATTCTTTTTGTTATATACTTACTTCACGTATTTCCTGTTCATTATCAATATATTTTTGATAATTTTCAAAGATGTTTAAATTAATAAAATTACTCATTTTTGCGAAATGTTTTCTTTAGGTTTTGCAAAACTGTTGTTTTCGTCTGAATATTTTATACCGATTTTGTTGTTTTTTCTTAGTTTGTTTTGATTTTACACAGCAAAGCTTTTCAAACTGTAAATAAAATAATGAATAACAGTTATTGTGAATTATCAATGATTAATCATTCACAATATTAACAGGTATGGAAATATTTTTAAAATATAGTTTCTTTTTATTATGTTATATTGTTAAAATAAGTGCACTGATGTGAGTTTTTTATTTATTATAACATTGTGATTGATATTAAAATATATTTAAATAAAATTAAAATTATATACTGCGGCCATTACAATACTACTTGAAAGAACTAGACTGACACGTTTTCCATCTCTGATCACCACCCAACTAAAAAAAAAAGAGTTTGACAACAATAAAAATTCATTCCACTTGTTAAAGAAATATCAGTCACACAATTTCAATTAAAGAAGAAACAAAATAAACGAAATAATTAAAGCGTATCTTAATACTAAACAATAAAATAAACAAATCTCTAACAGATAAAACATTAAATAAATATAATCATGTCTTACGGCGTAAGTTTTCAGTTAAAAAATAATTGCATAAATTTTCTCAACGTACATAAATACAGGAAATGAATTAATTAGTTTAATATCTAAATTCTTTTTATCTTGCCCAACAACAGGGCGGCTACAATCCCTACGAACAAAGTGGCTATGGACAAGGTTATTCCGCTCCACCCGGTGCTTATCCACCACAAAATGCTCAAATTGCTCCAGAAGTCCAACAATGGTTTAATATGGTAGATCAAGATCGTTCTGGAAAAATTAATGCCACCGAATTAAAGGCAGCATTGACAAATGGTCGTGGACAGAATTTTTCCGATACGGCTTGCAAATTGATGATTAGTAAGTATCTATAAAAAATTCTGTTAATATTTATGTTTGTTTGGCAAAACAATGTATTATTTGTTGTTGTCTCTCTGACGTCATTAAATAAAAAAAATGACGTGTAAGAGAGTGTAAAATAGAGAGCAAATGATTCATTTCCCTGCAAACATTTTAGATCTACGCAAATACCTATTTTAAGAATAGACTATAGAATAGAATACTGCCTCGTGTACCGACTATTCTAGACTGTAGACTGTACTATAGAATACACTAAAGACTTGACTATAAACTAGACTATAGACTACTCTAAAGAATAGACTAGACTATAGACTACACTATAAACTAGACTATAGACTAGACTAGAGACTAAACTATGCTATAGGCTAGACTAGACTATATACTAGTTTATAGACTTCAGACTAGTTATAGACTAGACTTCACACTAGTCTATAGACTAGTCTATAGACTAGACTTCAGACTAGTCTATAGACTAGACATCAGACTAGTCCATAGACTAGGCATCAGACTAGTCCATAGACTAGACATCAGACTAGTCCATAAACTAGACATCAGACTAGTCCATAGACTACACTAAATACTAGACAATAGGCTAGACTAGACTATTCTATAGCCTAGATTATTGACTAGTTTATAGGCTAGATTATTGACTAGACAAGACAACACTTGACTTTAGAATAGAATATAGACTATATACTAGACTATAGATTAGTCTATATCCTATATTATAAACTATAGACCAGACTATATACTAGACTATCGACTAAATTATAGACTGGACTATAGACTACATTATAGACGGGTCTATAGACCAGACTATACAGGGGATTATAGAGTTTGAGAGTAGAGTCCAGCTTATAGAGGTGAAGTCCCGACTATAGAACCAATATGCGACATTTAAAAATTCTCTTTTTGATCTGTATAAAATGTTTTGTTTATCAAATTAAATTTCTTCCTCCCTTCCAGGCATGTTCGATAATGACGCTAGCGGAACGATTGATATTTATGAATTCGAAAAATTATTCCAATACATCAACCAATGGCTGCAGGTCTTTAAGAACTACGATCGTGATGGTTCCGGACATATAGATGAAAACGAATTGACACAAGGTATTAACATTTATAAATCACATTTAATACAGACAAAACAAATCTAACTCTTAATTTTCGTATTCTTTTTCCAGCCCTCACTCAAATGGGTTTTCGTTTCTCACCGGAATTCATACAGTTTTTGGTGAAAAAGAATGATCCACAAAATCAAAGAGAAATTTCCGTTGATCAATTTATCGTTTTATGTGTACAAATACAACGTTTTACTGAGGCCTTCAGGCAACGGGATACCCAACAGAATGGTGTCATTACAATTGGTTTTGAAGATTTTCTAACCGTTGCTTTAGGCTGTTCCGTATGAAAGTAATTTGTTTTTTAAATCATTTTTTTTTGTTAATACATATTTATATTGAAAAAAATAGTCATTTAGTTTTGAATCTAACCGTGATGATGACACGTTGGTGTTTTGGTAAAATATTCATTTGCTTAGCTTAATGGTAATCTGCATAAAATTTGTAACTACATGAAACTCACTTAAATAGCACTTGATGTAAATCTCTTAAATTATGAACAATATATAGAATAATATAAAGAATGTGTTTTTGAAATATTTTTATAACTTCTACATTTCACATTTTATTTTTTTTTAAATAAACTTTTACAATTGTTTCTAGTACAAACACATTAATAAAATGCTGTATTTTATTAAATTTTAAATGATGTTTTTTTAATGTTTAAGAGCAAACGTGATTTTGTAAGTATAGCATATCTTACAAACTAGAAAATAGTGCAGACTATGGAATATACTATAGTCCAGGTTGTAGAACATAGACAATAGAATAGAAAATAGTTCAAACTATATACAAGGCTATAGTCCAGACTATAGACTATATAATAGTTCAGACCATAGACTAGATAACAGTCCAGACTATAGGTTAAAAATAGCCCAAACTGTAGATTAGATAACAGTAAAACCATAGATTATTCCATAGTCCAGACTATACACTATTCTATAGTCCATACAATAGACTATTCTATAGTCCATACAATAGACTATTCTATAGTCCAGACTATAGACTATTCTATAGTCCAGACTATAGACTATTCTATAGTCCAGACTATAGACTATTCTATAGTCCAGACTATAGACTATTCTATAGTCCAGACTATAGACTATTCTATAGTCCAAACTATAGACTATTCTATAGTCCAGACTATAGACTATTCTATAGTCCAGACTATAGACTATTCTATAGTCCAGACTATGGACTATTCTATAGTCCAGACTATAGACTATTCTATAGTCCAGACTATAGACTATTCTATAGTCCTGACTATAGACTATTCTATAGTCCTGACTATAGACTATTCTATAGTCCTGACTATAGACTATTCTATAGTCCTGAATATAGACTATTCTAAAGTCCTGAATATAGACTATTCTAAAGTCCCGACTGTAGACTATTCTAAAGTTCTGACTGTAGACTATTCTAAAGTTCTGACTGTAGACTATTCTATAGTCATGACTGTAGACTATTCTATAGTTCTGACTGTAGACTATTCTATAGTCCTGACAATAGACTATTCTATAGTTCTGACTATAGACTATTCTATAGTCCTGACTATAGACTATTCTTTAGTCCTGACTATAGACTATTCTATAGTCCTGACTATAGACTATTCTATAGTCCTGACTATAGACTATTCTATAGTCCTGACTATAGACTATTCTATAGTCCTGACTATAGACTATTCTATAGTTCTGACTATAGACTATTCTATAGTCCTGACTATAGACTATTCTATAGAACAGACTGTAGACTATTCTATAGTCCTGACTATAGACTATTCTATAGTCCAGACTATTGACTATTCTACAGTCCAGACTATAGACTATTCTATAGTCCTGAGTATAGACTATTCTATAGACCAGACTATAGACTATTCTATAGACCAGACTATAGACTATTCTATAGTCCAGACTATAGACTATTCTATAGTCCAGACTATAGACTATTCTATAGTCCAGACTATAGACTATTCTATAGTCCAGACTATAGACTATTCAAAAAAAAATAGACTATTCTATAGTCCAGACTATAGACTATTCTATAGTCCAGACTATAGACTATTCTATAGTCCAAACTAATGACTATTCTATAGTCCAAACTATAGACTATTCTATAGTCCAAACTATAGACTTTCTATAGTCCAAACTATAGACTATTCTATAGTCCAGACTATAGACTATTCTATAGTCCAAACTAATGACTATTCTATAGTCCAAACTATAGACTATTCTATAGTCCAAACTATAGACTATTCTATAGTCCAAACTATAGACTATTCTATAGTCCAAACTATAGACTATTCTATAGTCCAAACTATAGACTATTCTATAGTCCAGACTATAGACTATTCTATAGCCCAAACTATAGACTATTCTATAGTCCAGACTATAGACTATTCTATAGCCCAAACTATAGACTATTCTATAGTCCAAACTATAGACTATTCTATAGTCCTGACTATAGACTATTCTATAGTCCTGACTATAGACGATTCTATAGTCCTGACTATAGACTATTCTATAATCCTGACTATAGACTATTCTATAGTCTTGACTATAGACTACTCTATAGTCCTGACTATAGACTACTCTATAGTCCTGACTATAGACTATTCTATAGTCCTGACTATAGACTATTCTATAGTCCAGACTATAGGCTATTCTATAGTCCAGACTATAGACTATTCTATAGTCCTTACTATAGACTATTCTATAGTCCAGACTATAGACTATTCTATAGTCCAGACTATAGACTATTCTATAGTGCAGACTATAGACTATTCTATAGTGCAGACTATAGACTATTCTATAGTCCATACTATAGACTATTCTATAGTCCAGACTATAAACTATTCTATAGTCCAGACTATAGACTATTCTATAGTACAGACTATAAACTATTCTATAGTACAGACTATAAACTATTCTATAGTCCAGATTAATTTAGTAATGAAAATATCATAATTAATATTTAATGGTATATCTTTTAACTTACCCCTTATTTGTTTAAATAAAACCACCAATTTATCCAAAAAGAATATTATTTTTATAAATTATCAAACAAAAAAAAAAAAAAAAATTATTAAAAAAATATATATAAAAAAATTGCATGCAAAGTAATGTGTTAAAAAAATATATAATAATATTTCATTTTTTAAGATAATAGAGTTAAATAGCATAAAGCTGCTCAAACTTTAGGATGTTCAAAAATTTGATTGAGATATTTTAAAATTGTTTAAAATTTCGTTTAAACGAGCTTTTTTTAATTTATTATTTTAGGAGTTGCAAAAATTATAACCAATTATTAAATTAGTTTTTCTTAAATTTTTAACTAAATTAGTAATGAAAATTAAAAACAAATAGTGTCTATATCTCTCTAACCATTTAGTAAATGTGTTATATAACAGATTTCTTAATTATATTATATGTCTACGTAGTAATATGTAATTTAGTAGGTTTTTTTTTTATAACTTTATAAGTTTGTTTTTGTTATCGCAATTTAATAGTTAATTAAATACAATCTTTAATTGTTTAAACATCCAATGATTTTGTTTTAGTAGTGAAATGTTATTAATTTTTCTTTTTCTAGGAATAAACAAGAAGTTTTTCGTGTAATTTTGTTTTAATACTAATGAAAGCTTAATAATATTAATTAATTGTTAAAGTAGTATGTTATTGTTTTTAATAATTTCTATTTGAATTTTATTTTACATATTTTTTTCTCTTAATAACAATAATGTTGTTTTTGTAAATATATTGTAATTTGGTTAATAACATTTGGAACTTAAAATGACTTGATTAATTTATATATTTTTTTGATCGATATGACTTAAGTGGGAGATAACTGCTCTTGCCACGTTTTTGTTTACAACAAAACAAATTTATTCATAAGTTTGGTAAAAAAAATTCTAACAAAAATTATGTTTTAATATAAAAGTCTGTATGTAGAAGTGTAGTTAAAAATACTTTTTAAAATTCAGTCTTTAAAAAAATAAAGATCATAATTATAATTTTTTATAATATTTATTATAAAATATTTTAATATCGATAGCATTATCGAAATTATCGATGGCGAAAAATTGTTTTCCAAAACAGAGTTTTTAAAAGGCTACAGAATAACCTTGAATTTGAACGATTTCATTACATAGGCCAGCAATAGTTTAAAAAATATAATTCTAGGAATGAAGAATATATAACAGAGGTTTAACATTTATTTCAAAGTCTGTGGATGGGACCTTCAGATGATATAACAGATTTTATAAATAAAGGAGTCTTCGCGCTATTTTAACTTCTCAAATATAGCAAACAAACTGTCTTTTTTAGGACACGACTATATAATAGTCCAGACTAGGCTACGGTCCGGTCTATAGACAATAATACAGACGAGGAACTATAATCCAGGGATTCTAACTGGACACAGTTCAGTCGGAACCGGACTATTGCAGGTTATGGGAAGATGAGGAGGAAGTAGAGACCATAGAGCATATTATTTGCCAATGTCCTAAGATACAGAATATCAGGCTGAAATGACAAGGGAATAGGTTCCACGACGAACTGGGGGAAATTGCGAGACTTAACCCTCGTAGTCTACTAGGTATTGTCAAGGGAATTAGTCACTTCTTTGACTGATATAAATATATAATATACAGAGCCAATTGTCCATTTGTAATCAAAGTGATATGTGATTAATGTCTCTAAAGAGTGAAATAACTTCCTCCTATGACATGGCCAGGTTAAAATAACCCGTGATCTAGCTGATCGCGAGTGGTAACAAGAAGATACCGATTAATGAAGTGGAAACAACACGTAAAGAATAGGATCAACAATACGCATCGGTGCAGGACTCTATGTTTTGAATAAATATGACAATAATAGCGAATTAAGATTGTGATTGGACTGGTAGAGAAACTCTTCCAAATGTAAACTATGTATCATATGGCTACCAGGCTACTTGGGAATAATCAACAACGAAAGAGCGAATGTTTTTGCTATAAACGGAATTGAACTGGTGAAAGTTAACCTGATGAATGCAAAACCGTTGGACACAACGAGGTCAGAATTAAAAACACGATCAGTTAGAATAAAGAAACGCATCAGACGTATATATAAAGCAAGTGGAGAGGATTGTAAGATGCTGGAACACTATCTCTGTCGACGTTAAATTCAAATATTTTGAGTGCAGCAAGTCTGGGAAACAATGGTATGAGGCACACCTAAATCTAAATCTACTGCCCCCATTCTTCAGCTAACCAACCCATTATATAAACCCGGACACGTACTTTGATAAGGTTTTCATAGTAAGAGTTCCTTTCTGGAATAAGTGATGCATGGGTAAACTATCCAATTAATCTACCACCAGGATATATACAGATGGTTCTAAAATGAACTGCGGTGTTGGTGCTGGTGTCTTTTGTGAAAAAGCTAGGATAAGTTTCTATCACCGTCTTCCAAACAGGATCCGTAGTGCTTTGTAGGCTCAAATATTTGCGAATGATTTGTATATTCGGGACAATAGGATAGTCAAGCGGCACTTCTTTCATTAAACTCCTATGCCATCACCCCCACATTAGTCGAACAATGTATGAATGATTTTTCAAGTCCGAGTTAAACAGGCATATGTGCT